GTCCCCATCCACTGTAATTGCATGGAAAAACAGTGTCTTTCGTATTCTGCAAAAGAAAAACATCATACAGGTTAGGTTGACTAAATGATGACAGAATTCATTTTCGGGTGAACCATCTTTTTAAGCGCATATTAGAGCATGTCTTTTTAGAATTGGCAAAATCAGCTACTCTCTTCCTGATCTCACATTTAAGCCTAATACCCCAGTGGTCCCCTTCACCTGCCCCCATGGAGAGGCCTCACACTGAGGTGTCCAGCTAATTGATAGATCTAATAACAGTGACCCTGTATACAGTAAACTCTGCATCATCATTGGCTTCCACTGTGTGCTTACTAGAAGATGGAACAGAGGACAAAGAATCATACTAAGACAAACAAATCCTTTTTTCTCACATTTTCCCCCAAAGATATGATAATTGTGCTGTAATGCTTTAAAACGTTTCCTTGACTTTTTTTCCCCCCTTGCTCTAAACCTTAAATACATCAAAAGGGTACCACATTGATTTGATTTTTTTGATATCCACAAAAATGGAACTTGAAATGAAGGCCTACATAGATACCGGATGCTATCTTTATAATGGAAAGTACATGGTCTGACAGTTTCAAATGCAAAAACGCATCCGTACATATTCGACTGAGATAAGGTCTTTAAAGGGTGTATGGGCGGAAAAGAGGCGGATGACAGGGTGCACACCAATTACTAATAGCGAATGATTTTCTTCCCTCCCTTTTATTTTTGGAGAAATGTTTGACAAGGCAAACACTGCCTCTTGAAGGGAAAAAACGCATCTACTGTTCGGATATGAATCAAGTGGCGGATAGCAGGATATGCTTTTTTGTGACATGGAATGACACCGGAAGGTCAGCAGCACTTGTATCTGTTAAATGGATTGGATTAAGTGGGAGCTGCCTCCTCAGTTTGCGTCTCCATTTATAATGTTCTGCAGGACCGAAATGGGGGAAGGGTCTACTATTCCAGGCTGTGCAAAGAATGATGACAGGTGCACTCTTCTGTATAAACCCCAAAATACTAGTTTGCTGATGTCCGAGTCAACATTATGCACTTTTATTCAGTCATTTACTCTGTCGTTTCAGGTTTAAAATGTGCTGAGGCTATATAGGGCTTCTAAAAGCATATCTCAGCTGGCTCTTTTTTGGAAAACAACAAGAGGTTTCTCAGAGATGGCAGAAACAAGATGATTAGCTCAGACAGAATACAGCGCTCCTCACATCAGCTAACTCATCCTGGAGGTTACTCTAGCCTGGTGAGACAGGAAGTGCTAGCTGCCTTAAATCTGGGTTAGAAAACCTGTCACGGTGTGATGGTGTCATTGTTACCTACAAACCTGAATTCATCCAGGTAATTACAGAACAGGACTGCTCAAAGGTTTCTTGTTTATGAGCCTGGAGTGGTTTACAACAGAAAGGGTTAAGCTCTCCACGGTTAACTTTTTCTTCAGCCAACGTGCACGTTGTTAAAAGGTGGGAGGAATGTGGGGGGGTGGTGGCCTAAACCAATTATGTGTGGTTCTCCTGAGGTGGGGGAAACGACCTTTGTGTATAATTAGTTCTCTTATTTAAAGCAAAGATTTTGAATAGAATAACTAATTAGCTGTCATAAAAGGCAAATTAAAGATTTTTGTGCCATCCCTTGGGGAACTGAAGGAGCCTGATTCCCAAGCTCGTTTCCTTCTCGTACGCACACTCGCGTACAAACACAGACACACTTTTTCCTCGCAGACGAGCGCTCTCTCTCCTCATTAAGACTGTTTCTAGTTCTGTAGAAGGCTGACAGGAGAGCACTGTTGGCATACCTGCAGAGTGCACCTCTAACAAGCCATGAAATGCAGGTATAAAACGACCGCCCTCAGCTAGTGTGGCTTCAATTTAAAGGCTTTTTACCTTCATTTATACTGAACATTGGTATTTATAGCAAGTTTTGTGATCCTAATGCGGCGGCTTCAAGGGGCCCCTATTGGGGCTGGAGGGGGGACGGGGGAGGAAGCTGGAGGGGGAACACACCGCTTATTGATGGCTCCCATCAGTGGTGCTAGACCAATTAGCTTCCCTCTTTTTCCAGTTCTGATAAAGAAATAAGATGGTTGAATACCACCAGAGCTCTTATTCACATCCAAGTCATAAATTTAACTAACAAGCCCTCGCTTTCAGTCTTTCCTGAGCGCTCTCACATTTTACCTCATTTTATAACCAAGGAAATGCTAATTATATTATATTCATAGCACCGCTGATGTGTAGATGGTCCAGAATCACTGAACAAATCTGAATCCAATAAATGAACATGCATCACAGAGGGAAAGCGTGAGAATGAGCGCATACCAGGGTTGTGCACCATTCAGAATTGAATTGAGAATGCCTTTTAAATTCCAATTCAGTTGCCAAATTTGAATCGAGGTAGTAAAAAAGATGCAGAATTGCAATTCACATTTTAATATAAGTAAGTAGAGTTCAAGTGAATTCATATAACTGTAAAGTAAAAGTAAAAAGTAAAGTTTGTCAAGACAATTTAAATTGGAAAGTTTTAATTCTGAATTTTTTCAAACCCTAGCGTGTACTAAACCTCTCTTGGAACTACAGTGTGAGGTTAGTCCAGTTAGAGGAGGATACACACACAAAAACATTAATATGCTGATAGTTGCATGCGGGGTACCGGATAATGGAGTTCATGCCCACTGGCGTACATTTGTTGATCATGTACAGTAGAGCCATTACCGGACATTAAAGCCGGAGCTGAACAGAGCTGCTGCCTGTGACCTCTGCCATCAGGATACTCTTAACGGACATCTAGTCTCATACACAAATGCACTAACAATCAGCTAAGCATAAGCATTACATAAACATGACGATACCAGGAAAATATGATTTTAAAGGTATAGTCCACCTAACAACGAAAATCAGTTCGGTCTTTTACGCTCCTGTCCTTCCAAACCTTGCATGACTTTCTTTTTCTTTTTCGGTCTATACATTGAAAGTCAGTAGGGTCCAAACAGCAATGGACCCAATTGAAGTAAATGGATTTATTTATTTAGTGCTATTTTTTTTTTTTACAGTGCAGAAGACACAAAATCATACAGGCTTGGAATGACATGAAAGCCAGTAAATGATGACAGATTTTTTATTTTGTGCTGACTATCACGTTTAATTCCTCACAAATACCTAAAATCAGCACCTTGTTTTGAATAACACCAATTCTTTGGATCTCTACAGAGAATGTTTTTACACTTTATTTATTTATTTTTTATTTTTTTTCTCCATTCTGTAAAACTGTAAAAAGGCTAATGCTTGAATAAAAAGCCCTCTGTCCAGATGGGTCTGTCTCCATCCAGGACTGGGGGCTTTTAATGGTTTGACTGTCCGGGGCCCGATACGCTGGCGATTGGTGGGGGTGGGGGGTGGGTGGTTGATGGTGTCAAAGGGGGCATCACACAAGGCTTTCTGAGAGAAATGTGTTTTGAAAGCAGAGAGGTATGGAGAGAGGGAGAGTGCCGGTTTAGCTGTGCGTTCTATTAGACGGATCAATAGCTCAGTGTGGGAGAGAGTGTCTTAAGAGCTGTTGTCCTGCGCTTTCAGCTGTGGCAGACCTGTTAGTGCTGGCAGAGGGGGGCCGAGGGCCAGAGTTACCAGCTCTGGCCCAGGGAAGCAGAGAGGTATGGAGAGAGGGAGAGTGCCGGTTTAGCTGTGCGTTCTATTAGACGGATCAATAGCTCAGTGTGGGAGAGAGTGTCTTAAGAGCTGTTGTCCTGCGCTTTCAGCTGTGGCAGACCTGTTAGTGCTGGCAGAGGGGTGCCGAGTGCCAGTGTTACCAGCTCTGGCCCGGGGGCGGCTTTTAGTCCACACACAAATGTCAGACCGCAGATAGACTATTAGTGTTTAGTGCAGTTATTAAATGGACTTTATTTGTCCTTTAGGAGGCTAAAAGGCATGCTTAAAGGGGGGGAGGCTGCATGACAACGCGGCAATTTAGCCGGTTTGGTTACTCTTTTCTGGTCACGATGCAGCGAGCGCGAGTGTAAAAGGAGATCAGGCTTTTGTGTGTGTGTGTGTTTGTGTGTGCGTGTTTGGAAGGCACTTAGGCCATACCGTATCTCACTGGAAGCTGAGAGCAGCCTTCTTGCGGTCAACAGTGTTCTAAAAGGTTAATGTTGATCTATACCAAACAAAGCCCTTGGGAGGCATTTAGCATTGCCAACAGTTCTCATACTGATGAAATAGGGCCATGGCTAATCTTCCAAACAACATAAATACCTCTGTCAGCTATCTAAATAGAGACGGACCTGGGGCATCCCATCATAGAGATGCATTCAAGCCCCCATTAAACGGGTGTGTCACTCACCAAAAATAACATCTGTTCTTTTGAGCGGGGGCAGCAACAAATGAGGCAGCGAGCAGAGTCCAAAGTGACCCGCACATCTATCTGTGCGGAAGAGCGTCAGTGGCTAATGCATATTAGGGCTGTGCGATTTGGGGGAAAATATCAAATTGCGATTTTTTTTTTTTTTGCTTAAGTTGCATACGGTTTTCTTTAGTTTTAATTTGCCTAACTATCGATCTGACCCAGTAGACGCCATAATCCCACTCTGTCTCTCTACCGTCCCCCGTCCCGCGTTCCGTTTTTTTTATTTTTTTTTTAGTGGTGGGTGTTTACGCAGTTGGCTAGAGCAGTGCTGATTGGGGAGAACGGAGGTGCGCTCACTCTTGCCCAGGGCAAGTAAGATTGCAACTCAAGGCTGGCAGTCATGCATATGCTCTGGAACAGAGTAATATCGCGTCCACATCGCAGGCTTTGCGATTAGGAAATCGCAACGTCTCAAATTGCGTTTTTGATTCGATTTCGATTAATCTCACAGCCCTAATGCATATGAAACAGCAGCCCGAGCTTCGGCGGTGTCGCCACCCTTATCAAAGAGCGCGGAACATGAAAAGTCACCGGTTTAGCCAGGCAGTAAATCACAACACTCTGTGTTTGTCTCCCTATCGCCACAGGTGTGCCGATGCTCTCCGTTCAGCCCAAAGGAAAACAGAAGGGATGCGCCGGCTGCAACCGTAAGATTAAAGACCGCTACCTGCTCAAGGCCCTGGACAAATACTGGCACGAAGACTGCCTGAAATGTGCCTGCTGCGACTGCCGCCTGGGTGAGGTGGGCTCCACCCTCTACACCAAAGCCAATCTCATCCTCTGTCGCAGGGACTACCTGAGGTAAGAACACACTGCAGTCAAAGTGCTGCCAAAGCAGAAAGGACTTGTTACACCTCAGGCTGCATGACATTCAGAAAAGTACACCATCTAACAGCTGATGATTGCCACCCTGCCTGTCTCATTCCTGGCCCTGTCCTCTCTCTCTCTCTCCTGTTGCGTTTATCTGCTAACTTGTGGGTTTATAAGAATTTTTTTTTAGCTTGTAAATTGTTTTCTTTGAGGCTGTTACAGAAGATTAAGTGCTTGTTCTTTCCTCATCCCAGTGTACTGACCCAGACTCTGTGCGTTCCAATTAAGTCCCAGTTGTGCAAGTGAGCAAACAGCTTGGAGTGGCATCTTTTAGCGATTGTTTGTTTAGCCGGGTAAGGTTTTGCATGTTTACATGAATGTGACGTGTCGCCCATTTTCTAAGTTGAGCGATAAACCGCTGCGTATGAGTGCGTCTATGGACTTTCAGCTCACCCCAGGCAGCTGAGTGGCAGAACCGCAGGTCTAAGGATCTGTTTTGCCTCCAATCTCTGAGCCATCTGCTTGCTAAATTAAACATGATTATTTCCTGGGCGTTAAATCCCAGTCCCTGGGGTCTCCCAACCAGATCCAGTAATTTGTCCCCAAGCTGCTCTCCCCAAAGAGCCCCCACTGGTAGGGCCCTTCCCAGTAAGACATGCAGTTCAGCACTGTCGACATTAACAGTGTTTAAGGGACAGTTCACCCAAAAGTAAAAACTCTGGCATCATTACTCAACCTCATGTTGTTCCAAATAGGTTTGACTGACTTTCTTTTGTGGAAGACGAAAAAAGCCATTTGAAGAAGGTCAACAGGGTCAAAACAACATTTGACCACATTGAATTTCACTGTATGGACAATATATATATATTTATACAACAGTTCGTTCTGGTTCTCAAATCTGATTGGTTGAGAACCGTGAGATATTGTACTGGTATCGCTACAGTCCTTTCACAATTTTGTATCACTCCGCTTGTTCTAGCCGGGTCTGTTTTTTTTTTTT